GACTTACGAGTGTCCCCACTAGAGTTTTTCGAGATACGAGCCATCTCTCGGCCGATTTTTTGCTTTGAGTTGCGAGCTAAAATTCGGGTTATGAGCCAGCTTCAGATACCCCACCACTAGTTGGCACAGCGAACGTCACAGTGAACGCCACAACATCAGCCCAGCATCAAGTGTCTCACTCGTTCACTTTTTGATTTGACATACGAGTAATTTGAGTTACGAGCTTCGTCACGGAAAGAATTAAACTCGTAAGTCAAGGCCCCACTGTATTATAAATTCCCACTTAAAGCTATCTGGTACAGTATGCACTTCATGTTGCTGTGCAGAGTGAAAATGCACATCTATAACACACAGTAGGTCTCAAAAGCAGTAGTAAACATGTTATCATTACGTCCTTAGTAATAGTAAATGTCCTGTTGTTCCGTAACCCACGCTGGTCTAGCAATACGGAACACATAGTAGGCCTCAGCAAGTACTGGCGGGAATGAATTGAATGTATCGCACTCTTGTTTGCATTAATGGCAGATACACTGATCCCAAGGGGGATCATTAACAAGTATAAGGCTAATCACCTGAACAGGTGGGATTTAACATAATTCTCAAACCAGGAATTGATGGGAGAAAACAGGGGCACACTGAGACAGGCACCCTCATAAACACAGCGAAGATTCGCAGCATCAGCACGACTGACATTTGGGGCCGGGTAAGCCCGTGGGCGGAGGGAAGGGGTGTGCTGTGCGGTGCGGGGTGGTCAGAGCATGGCTGGCCTCCACCTACGAGAGACGCCAGCTGCACCCTTCTTCCCCGAGCGCAGTAACCAAACATGTCCTCAGGCATTGCACAAGGTCCCCCCAGAGACCAAACCACGCCCTCGGGGAGAACCACTGCTGAAGGTGGACGCACACAGTTATACGGCTTTTCCAGAAACAACTGGTAGTAAGTATTCGGAACTCTAAAACATGTTTAGATATTTTCATCCAGAAATCCTACTTCAAGGAGAAATCAGAAATGGAAAGATGCTCACACATCAATAACAAAATGACAACCTCCTTTAAAAATGGGCACACGATCCAAGTATTCGTTTCTCCAAAGAAGACAGAAACGGCCAATAAGCACCTGCAACGATGCTCCACATCACGTGCCACCAGGGAAATGGAAGACAAAACCACAATGAGACCCACTGGGATGGCTATGGTCAAAAAGACAGAGCAAGCGCTGGCGAGAATGTAGAGAGACTGGGGCCTCAGACACTGCCGCCATAGCCACTGCGGAAAACAGCTGGGCAGCTCCTCCAAAGTTTAGCCATGCAGTTACCACACAACCAAACAATTCCACTCCTGGGTATATGTATACCCAAAAGAAGAGAAAATGCATATGCACACAAAACTTGTACACAAATGCTCATAGCAGCATTATTCATAATAGCCCCAAAAGTGGAAACAACCTACATGTCCATCAACTAATGAACTGATAATGTGGCCTAGGCATACAATAGAATATTATCCTATATAATAATCATAATTGACCAAACGGGTGAACGACCGGTCGCTATGACATGCACTGACCACCAGGGGGAAGACGCACAATGCAAGAGCTGCCTCCTGGTGGTCAGTGCATTCCCACAGGGGTAGTGCCGCTCAGCCAGAAGCCAGGCTCATGACTGGCAAGTGCAGTGGCAGTGCTAAGGAAGTCCAACTGCTGACTAAGGGCTCCCAGATTGCGAGAGGGCATAGGCCTGGCTGAGGGACCTCCCCCCTCCAGTGCACAAATTTCGTGCACCGGGCCTCTAGTTCAGCAATAAAAAAGAAGGAAGTACTTATACATGCTACAACATGGATGGACCTTGAACACATTATGCTAAGTGAAAGAAGCCAATAACAAAAATCCACATGTTATACGATTCCAGTTATATTAAAAGTCCAGAATAGGCAAATCCATAGAGACATAAAGTATATAGTGGTTGCCTGGAGCTCGGGAGGGGGAATGGAGAAGGGGGAGTAACTGCCAGGTATGAGGTTCCTATGTGGGGGGATGAAATGTTCTAAAATTGTTTGTGGCAATGTTTGCACAACTCTGTGAATATAATAAAAACAATCTAAGTGTACAGTGTAAGTGGGTGTATTGTATATACATGAATTAATACAACCATTATAAAAATACTCAAAACAACCACAAATGATGCACATGCAAGGCTGTACATTGTTATATGTTATCTATAAGATTTTAAAAATCTGAGAGTACCTAAATGCAAGGCAAAAGGGATGGTAAAATAAATTATGTTCAGTCATATGAATAAGTATTAGGTAACCACTGTAATAATCTTTTGAATACTTATTAACACAAGGATCTCTCCTGCTGTAATAGTAAGGGAAAAGACAAAAATGTAAAATCTGCATTTAGACACACATACAAATTCACTTACACACAGAAAATTTACAAAAGAAAATCTACAATCAGTGAAGAATGGTTAATACTGGGTGGTGGGATAAATGGTGACTTTTATTTTCTTCTCTTTTTTCTATAGTTATTGTATTTCCTACTCATATCCTATATAATAAGAGGCTAATATGCAAATTGTCCCCATGGGTAGGAGTTCGACTGACTGGGAGTTAGATGTGCGCTGACCACCAGAGGGCAGTGCAGAACATGGCTGGTGTTGGCACACTGCTGGCCCCCACAGGCCCCGATGAGAGCGGGACTGCAGTGGGACGGTGGAGCAGGTGGGCGGGCGGGCGGGCGGCAGCAGACGAAGGCAGGTGCAAGCAGGAGCCCCAACTGCCCTGCTGGCCCCTCACAGATTAGCCCTGATAGCCAGCCAGGCCTAAAGACCCTACCCATGCACGAATTTCATGCACCAGGCCTCTAGTATATTTATAACCAATAAAAATACTTCTTAAAGATTGAGAAAGAAAGTTTATTTCCAAAACTTACTTGAAATGTATAGTCTAAAAGAGCTGAATAGAAAATTATAGACTATGTAGTCAAAGCTTTTAATTTTACTGAAGTAACTAGAGTCCAGAGCGGCTAAGTGTGCTGGATCCGTCAGCCGTCTGGCCAGAGTAAGTGCAACTCTCCTCCTTGCCTTTCTTTTTTGATGACCCACCCACCTACGCACACTCACAGAGAGCTCAAAAAAGAAGATTGAGGGATGGACCTTGAGGGCATTATGCTAAGACAGAAAAAGACAAGTACCATATGATCTCGCCCCTATGTGGAATCTAACAACAATACAGAACAGATTGGTTGTTATCAGAGGTTTGGGGGTGGGGGTTGCTGAGAGAAATGGGTGAATGGGGTCAAAAGGTACAAACATCCAGTATAAAATAAATAAGTCCTGGGGATATAGTGTACAGCATGGTGACTATAGTTAATAATACTTCATTGTATATTTGAAAGCTGCTGAGAGTAGGTCTTAAAAGTTTTCATCACAAGAACAAAAAATTATAACCATGTGTGGTGATGGATGTTATCTAGGCTTGTGGTGATTATCTGGCAATATACACTTACATCAAATAATTATGGTATACACCTGAAAGTAATATGTTATATGTCAGTTATATCTCAATTTTTTAAAATGAACTACTTCTTTTGGGGGGGGAGGGGATTTCTTTCCACAAGTTGGGTTCTGTTCTAAAATTCCTGCAAGATTAGATAGAAAGACTCAACAGTCCTCTCCCAGACCACTAGAGGGCACTAGCAAGTCAAGACAGGCTGAGCCCTACGCACAGTGGATAAACTACAGTGAGAATAACCATTTTTTTTGGCCTCAGAAGTAGACAAAGACGATTAAAATCATGCTGACCCTTGGATGACTGTCTTCAGCTTTTTCTGGCAAGCGATGGCTAAAGGAGTCTTTTTGAAGCGGGGCATTCTGGTTCCCATCCCATAAGAGCAAGAAATGAATGATGCGCCAGGAAACAGCCCCAGCAGCAGCTCCCAACTGTTTCCAGGCAGCAGCCCATAATCACCTTATTTCCCAGCTCCAACCAAGTGTGGCAGGGGGACCCTCCGGCCTTTAGCAGGCGGGAGGCAGCACAGATGGAAGGCTGGGCAAACACAGGGCAAATGCTTCCATCAAAACCACCAGCTGCCGATGTTCCTTGGGGTGTCACACCCTCCAAACAAAAAGAAGGGAATCAAGCAAGAGGCAAGAAGCAAGAGCCCAGCACTCCTCGGCGGAAACAAAAGCTCAGTGAAAGCTGGCAAGGCTCCCTGCTCTGAAATGATTCCCAGACAACAGTAAATCGGGACAGCGGTCAGTGTTGAGTGGAGACACGTGGGCCTGGCTGCGAAGCCCAATTCCTCAGCTCTCTTCACAATATGTGAACGCAAAAAACACAGGGTTAGGGGGAATAGGGTTCACCCGTTTCCATTAAGCCCAATTAAAGAACCTCATCCCGGAAAGGCAGGGCGCCACTGTAGTGCTTTCGTACGTACGCTGGGAGGGGACCCAGGTTCAAATCCCAGCTCTGCCACTCACGGATTAGCTGAGCCTGTGCAAGTTACTCAGTTTTTCTGTGCCTTAGTTTCCTCCTCTGTAAAATGAAGACAACAGTAATAATAGTTCCTCCTTCCTACGTTGTAATGAGGATTACATGGTCCCTGACACATTATTAGTGCTCAAAAAATGTTAGCTATTAGCTAGTGCTAGTGGTGATGGGCATAAAAATCTTAAAATACAGAGCTTTGCTACCCTTGTTTCATAAGCCAGCCCAACATCTTGGGACCTTTATTTTGAGGAAATTCTCTCTTAATGTAAAGACCCTCGAAAAGCTTGTAGACAATCTATCATTCAAAACCCAGGATTAATATATTGGGAAATCCCTATATCACACAACTAAAAGTTATTTCTAAAATCTGCCCCAAGCTGTATACACTAATGTATGTTTCTCTTCTCACTCAGGCTGCTGGTTGTGGAAGTTCTTCCCCACATCACCAGGGTTTGATGTGAAGGTTTATAAGCACAATGTCTACACTTGAAGTTGTTCCACCAATAGTTGAAATGCCAACTCCCCATAATTGATATGTGCTGGAATAAACACTTATATTAAGATTAATTAGTGTGGCTCACTGTATTTTCCAAAGATGGTCACAGAAGGCAAAGGAGAGTCAGCGTATTCTTGCTACTTAAGTAATTTTAATTCAAAATCATAAATATGCCAAAGTGACATATTGAGGGCGGCCTGCCCTGAGTCCCATCTTTAGTCTTACAAAATAAGCTAAACTAAGTTTTGCTTGTATGAATAAGCTGGCTTTATCTGCTCAGGGAATTTTCAAGGCCTGTCTCCATTTGGCCTTGATTTTAACATGAGCTAACTGGCACACAAATTGTGTTCTAGGGACTATGTCTGTGGCATGGGCCTCCAGCTCCAGGGGGTGATGGCTGACGGTCTGCTCCTTGGTCCTCTGCAGTCAGTGCAGAGCCTGGCGAAGAAAATGATGCTGCATGGCCATCAGGCCCCCAGACTATCGGACGTTGGCGTTCCTCTTGAGGTAGTTGGTGTAATGAGTCAGGAGTAGCTTCTTGACCAAGCTGCTGTAGATGGCCCAAGATGGGATCAGGCTCAGAAAGCTCGCCTTAAATAGACAAAAACATGAGTGTCTGGGTGAAAAGGAGAGCAAGGAAGTTACAACTAAAACATCTCAGTTCATATTTATCATTTCAAAAACATATTTCTTCTGACTACTGAAGGTAAGTCCCCAAATCTTCTAGTACGGTCATGTGTCGCTTAACAAGAAGGATTCATTCTAAGAAATGCATCATTCGATGATTTCGTCATTGTGCGAACATCATAAAGCAAACTTACATGCTTTATGGTACCTCCTGCTACACGCCTAGGCTGTGTGGTATAGACTATTGTTCCTAGGCAACAAACCTGTACATCCTATCACTGTACTGAATGCTGTAGGCGATTATAACACAATGAAAGTATTTGTGTATCTAAACATAGAAAAGTATATTTAAAAATGTTAAATATGGTTACAATATGGTATAAAAGATAAAAAATGGTACATCTGTATAGGACACTTACCACGAGTGGCACTCAGAAAACTAGAGTTGCTCTGGGTGAGTCAGTGAGTGAGTGGTGAGTGAATTAGAAGGCCCAGTACATTACTGTTTGCTACTGTAAACTTTTAATCACTATATAGTTAAGATATACTAAATTTATTTTTAAGAATTTCATTCTTCAATAATGAATTAAGCTTAGCTTGCTATACCTTTTCTCCTTTATAAACTTTTTAGTATTTTTAACTTTCAATTCTTTTGCAATAACACTTAGCATAAAACACAAACACATTTTATAACTGTACAAAAAATATTTTTTTCTTTATATCCTTATTCTATAAGTTTTTTCCTATTTTTAAATTTTAATTTTTTTTTACTTTTTAAACTTTTTTGTTAAAAACTAAGATACATGGAATACTATGCTGCTATAAAAAAGAAAGAACTCTTACCATTCGTAACAACATGGATGGACCTGGAGAACATTGTGCTAAGCAAAATTAGCCAGTCAGAGAAAGATAAATATCACGTGATCTCACTCATTTGTGGAATATAATGAACAACATAAACTGATGAAAAAAAATAGATCCAGAATCACAGAAGCATCTAACAGACCGTCAAACGTCAGAGAGAAGGTGGGAGAGGAGAGAGGGTAAGAGATCAACCAAAGGACTTGTATGCATGCATAGTAGCATAATCAATGGACACAGATAGTAGGAGAGTGAGGGCATGTGCTGGGGGTGGGAGCAGCTGGGGAGAGCTCAATGGGGGGAAAAGGAGACATATGTAATACTTTCAACAATAAAGAATTTAAGTAAATAAAAAACAAAACAAACAAAAAAACTAAGATACAAACACACACTAGCCTAGGCGCACACAGGGTCAGGATCGTCACTGTCACTGTCTTCCACCCCCACATCCTGTCCCACTAGCAGGTCTTCAGGGGCAATGACATGCTCGCGTGAGGAGGTGTCACTCTTTTCGGAAATATGTCCATGGCGGTTTGTTAAAATTTTGTTTTCATCATAGACTTGCTTGTGAGCAGATAATGCAACATGAGCATTCTTCTCTGTAAGTGAAAAACTTTTGGTGTTTTTAAATTAATGAACAACTTTTAAAGAAGCTTGTTGAGGTCTGCGAACCTTCTGCTAGAACCTTCACCATGAATTTTCTTAGAGATTCTTTTTCTGCTCCTGCAGTTTCCTCTCCCCTGGCTTCTTCTTCAGCTACGCATCCCATTCCAACAACTCCTCCTCAGCACTTCCTCAGACCCCCCCCCCCCCCAGAGCTCCTCCCCCTCGTCATCCTCGTTCACACCCAGGTTAAGGCTGTGTGCCATCTCAGCCACAGCCTTGTGGATTCTTGCAGCCTCCTCAATCTAGGCAAACCCTTTGAAGTCATGGGCAAACTTCTTGAGTGTCTTCCTCCAGGTGCCAATCATACCCTCCTTGGTGGCATCACTCTAAGCCAGTGGTCGGCAAACTCATTAGTCAACAGAGCCAAATATCAACAGTACTTCTTCAAAATAGACTCGCCCAGGCCGAAAACCGACTTCTGCGCATGGACCGCAAAGTTTCAATCGCACTGTACATGCGCCCGCACGTGGTATTTTGTGGAAGAGCCACACTCAAGAGGCCAAAGAGCCGCATGTGGCTCGCGAGCCGCAGTTTGCCGACCATGGCTCTAAGCCCAAGCAAGACTCCTGAAGCAGCTGAAGATGTAATTTTTCCAAAATTGCATCAGCGTCTTCGTCAGTTGCAGCAATGCCCTGGGCAAAGGTCGTCCTTAGGTAGTGAGCTTTAAAAGCTGCTATAACTCCCTGATCCACTGGCGTGTTTGGAGGGAGAAGCACACTTCGATTTTGGGATGAAGATCGCCAATACAAAGAAGATGTCTGGGGAGATTGTAAATAATAAGCTAAGTCTGGAAAGGTACTACAGTGGGGCCTTGCCTAATAACGAGTTTTTTGAGATACCAGCTGTCTCTTGGCAGATTTTTTGCATTGAGTTGATAGAGTAATTTGAGTTAACGAGCTCCTTAACGAGCTCCTTAATGAGTTCAGTCTCTGAACGAATTAAACTCGTAAGTCAAGGCCCCACTGTATTCTCCAAACAGTGTTTCTCCATTTTGCTGGCATAGCCATTGAGGAGGGCCAGAGTTAAACATTTACTAACAGGGGGTCAGAGGCCACAGCAGCCCCACGGAGACGCTCCCTGGGTCTCCGCCGGCTCTTCCAGGAGCTCTGGAGCCTCCTTCCTTTCTGAGGGAGAAGTGAGGCAGCCAGGGGTGAGACTGCCCGCCTTGGGGGCGCACCAGGCCTCCAAGAGCGAGGAAGAGCTGGCTCAGCCCGCAGGGCCGCCTGCACACCTGTGCTCACTTGCTTCAAGAAGGAGAAGTTATCAATTACCAGGATTTCATGGACGAGGCAGCCGCAGGTTTCATCGCCAAATGTGACGTAATTGAGCGATTCTTTAACAAACTCATCGGCAGTCTTGGTTATCAGGCTGGTGTTGAGGTTCTTTGTCATTGGGGTTGAAACAGCATAGGGGGTCAGCACCTACAATGGGAAATAAAGCTGTAACACAGGAGCGATCTGCCCATCCCTGAGTGTGAGCCCCCATCTCCCCATGCCTTCCTTTCCCAACTCCGGCCATCCTGTCAGAAGTTCCAGGGTCCGAAACAGGGAGGGGGCACTGCACGGGCACAGAAGCGGCACAGCGCTGGCAATCAGCCTCTGGTTTCCCTTTGCCACTAACGCCAGGGGAGGCCTCGGCCACACACCACGGTGCCCCGAGTGCACACGGCTGAGGCATGAGCCAGCTCTCCGAGCATGGTTTCCAGGCTTTGATATAAAAGTGCAGGACACTCAGTTCAACCGAATCCAGAAAAACAGCAGCAACAACAAAATTCAGTATAACTGGGGAAGACAAAATGGCATCCAAATAGGCAGATGTGTCCTGCACCTTCTCATGGAGCAGATAGAAGAAACAACTAAATCAAACATCCACCCAGAATTGGCAAATTAAACACAGCTGGTGAGACGATCCATGGCTGGAAAGGACAGAGGACACCTAGAGAACGTTTTTCTTTCTCCTTTCTTTTTACTCCTTATAAAAAATTGATCTTCTTTATCTGCTTTACTGACGTGTTACTATTATACTATTCTCTGCTGGCTTACTCATATATCTAATTTCCTCTCCCCTCCTCCAAGTCTTTGCACACTTCTCTTTTCTCTTTCTTCGCTAGCCATTTTTTATGCTTTTGTTTTTCCTGCCCTTGCTTGCTCTCTTCTTCTCCTAGTTGCTTAATTAGTTACACTCACCAAACTCAAGCCTATTTGCTCTCTACTCTCGTCTCCTTTTCCAAAAATAGATGAATATACAGTTAGATAGATAATAGATTAAAGAAAGGGAAGAATTTTTTAATTATTATTTTGTTTTTTACTTTTCTTCTTATCCACTCATTCTCTTTCTACCTCCTCTATATTGAACTGTGGCCATTTCCCCACTCATTCAATTCCTTTACCTTACCTTCTGGAAATAAGCTGTGCTTCTTCAGATTCAGTTCCCCCCTTTTTTCTGGGTGTTTGTGGTTTGCATTTTTTGGTTTATTTGTTTGTTTTGTGGACTTTTCTCCCCATATACATATATTTTTCCCCCTTATTTTTTCTTCTTTTTCTTTTCTCTCTTACCTTTTTTCCTTTTCTCAATATCATTTCTGTGCTCTTTTCTCTCCCCTAATTCTCTTTTTGCTGGTGGTCACCTTTATTGGGGTTATCAGAGTCATGAATACATTCTTGTTGTGTTCCCTCTGTGTTGTGTCTTGTTGAGTTGTATTTTGTACCTTTCAGTCAGCGTGGTAGAGGGTGAACCACATAACCAAACACCCTGAAGGAGCAAAAAGGGGAGACAAAGAAACAGACCCCATATGAAAGAAAGGAGGACTCGCCAGAAAAGGAAGTAAATGAAATGGAGGCAAGAAATTTGTCAGAGAAAGAATTCAGAGCAATGGTCATAAGGACACTGAAAAGGATGGAAGGCAATTCAACAACATGTGTAAGAATCAATAGGAAATGGAGAAGAGCCAAGAAGAAATGAAGAATGACATAGAACACAATAGAAAGCATCAATAGTAGACTAGCAGAAACTGAGGACTGCACCAGCAAGCTAGAAGACAAGGTAGGAAAAAACACCCAAGAAGAGCAGCTACTGGAAAAAAAAAAACTTAAAAAGCAGGAGGAGAGCCTAAGGGCGCTCTGGGATAACACAAACCAAAACAACATCCACATAATAGGGATGCCAGAAGGAGAGGAAACTGAGCAAGGAATAGAAAACCTGTTTGAAGAAATAATGACAGAAAACTTCCCTGATATTGGGAAGAAAAAACTCACACAAGTTCAAGAAGCACACAGAGTCCCAAACAAGAGGATCCCAAAAAGACCAACACCAAGACACATCATAATTAAATTGGCAAACACTAACAACAAAGTAAGAATTTTAAAGGCTGCCAGAGAGAGACAAAAAGTTACCTATACAGGATTTCCCATTAGACTATCAACTGATTTCTCAACAGAAACACATCAAGCCAGAAGGGAATGGAATGAAATATACAAAGTGATGCAAAGCAAGGGACTGAATCCAAGAATACTATACCCAGCAAGGCTATCATTCAAAATTGAAGGTGAAATAAGGAGCTTCAGACAAAAAAGGGCTAAGGGAGTTTATTACCACCAAGCCACCAATGCAAGAAATGCTAAAGGGACTGCTATTAAAAGAAGAAATCAGAAGGGAAGAAGGAACACAGGCATAAAGAATAAAAATGGCAACAAACAAGTACCTATCAATAATAACCTTAAACGTAAATGGATTAAATGCTCCAAACAAAAAACATAGGGTAGCTGAATGGGTAAGAAAACATGACCCATATATATGCTGTCTACAAGAGACCCACCTCAGAACAAAGGACTAACACAGACTGATAGCAAAGGTATGGGAAAAAAATTTTCAGGTGAATAGAAATGAAAAACAGCTGGGGTAGCAATACTTATATCTGACAAAATAGACCTCAAAGTGAAGGCCATAACAAAAGATAAGGAAGGCCACTTCATAATACTAAAGGGAGCAATTCAACAAGAGGATATAACTCTGATAAACATATATGCACCCAATACAGAAGCACCCAAATACATAAAAAAACTTCTGGAAGATATCAAGGGAGAGATCGACAGCAATACAGTCAACTTTAATACCCCATTGATGCCACTGCATAAATCCTCTAAACAAATATAATCAGCAAAGAAACATCAATCCTAAATGACTCACGAGATGAGATGGAATTAATTGACATCTTCAGAACATTTAATCCCAAAGCTACAGATATACATTCTTCTCAAGTGCACATGGGACATTTTCAAAGATAGACCATATATTGAGATACAGGCAAAGTCTCTTCAAATTCAAGAAGATAGAAATCATATCAAACATCTTCTCAGATCACAATGGCATAAAATTAGAAATCAACTACAATAAAAAAAATGGAAAAAATTAAACACTTGGAGGCTAAATAGCATGCTATTAAACAATGATTGGGTTGCCAAAGGGATCAAAGAAGAAATAAAAAGTATCCTGATAAGAAACAACAATGAAAACACAACAATCCAAAATCTATGGGACAGAGTGAAAGCAATCCTGAGAGGGAAGTACATAGTTTTGCAAGCCTACCTCAAAAAAACAAGAAAAATGGTAATAAATTACCTACCCCTACAATTTAAAGAATTAGAAAGAACCCTAACTGGTTTGGCTCAGTGGATAGAGTGTCAGCCTGTGGACTGAAGGGTCCCAGGTTCGATTCCGGTCAAGGGCATGTACCTTGGTTGCGGGCACATCCTCAGTGGGGAGTGTGCAGGAGGCAGCTGATCGATGTTTCTCTCTCATCGATATTTCTGACTCTCTGTCCCTCTCGCCTACTCTCTGTAAAAAATCAATAAAATATATTTTTTTAAAAAAAGAATTAGAAAGACAGTAACAAGAAAATCCCAGAGTAAGCAGAAGGAAGGAAATAATAAAGATCAGAGCAGAAACAAACGACATAGAGACACACACAAAAAAAATACAAAAGATCAATAAAACCATGAGCTGGTTTTTTGAAAGGATAAACAAGATCGATGAGCTCTAGCCTGGCTCACCAAGAAACAAAGAGAGAGGACCCTAATAAACAAAATCAGAAATGAAATAGGTGAAGTAACAACAGACCCCACAGAAATACAAAGGATTGTAAAAAAAAAAAAAAAAAATACTATGAACAACTCTACTCCAACAAACTGGACAGCCTAAATGAAATGGACATATTCCTAGAAAAATACAAGCTTCCAAAACTCAATCAGGAAGAATCAAAAAACCTGAATAGGCCAATAACTACCGATGAAATTAAAGCAGTAATCAAAAATCTTCCAACAAACAAAAGCCCTGGTCTGGAGGGCTTTAGAGGGTAGTTCTACCAAACATTCAGAGAACTAAAACCTATCCTCCTCAGACTATTTCAAAAAATTCAAGAGGAAGGCACACTTCCAAGCTCTTTCTATGAAGCCAGCATTACACTATTCCAAAACAAGATAAAGACACCACAAAGAAATAGAACTACAGGCCAATATCCTTGATGAACATAGATGCTAAAATCCTCAACAAAATTCTAGCAAACTGGATCCAGCATTACATTAGAAAGATCATACACCATGACCAAGTGGGATTTATTCCAGGGATACCAGGAGGGTACAATATCTGTAAATCAATAAACGTGATACATCACATAAACAAATTGAGAGACAAAAATCACATAATCATATCAATCAATGCAGAAAAAGCATTTGACAAAATCCGCACCCTTTCTTGATTAAAAAAAAACTCTCAGCAAAGTGGGAATATAAGGATCACACCTCAACATAATAAAAGCATTATATGACAAATCTACAGCCAACATCATACTCAATGGGCAAAAACTAAACTCATTTCCCCTAAGAACAGGAACAAGACAAGGGTGCCACTTTCACCACTCCTGTTCGACACAGTACTGGAACTGCTAGCCATAGTGATCAGACAAGAAGAAAAAATGAAAGGCATCCAAATTGGAAAAGAAGACATAAAATTGTCATTATTTGCAGATGACATGATATTGTACCTAGAAAACCCTAAAGACACCATCAAAAAACTACTAGACTTAATAAATGAATTTGGCAATGTCACAGGATACAAAATTAACACCCAGAAGTCTATGGCTTTTTTATACACCAATAATGAACTCACAGAAAGAGAAACTAAAAAAAACAAAAACCATTTACCACTGCAACAAAAAAATTAAGATACCTAGAAATAAACTTAAATAAGGAGGTAAAAGACCTCTACTCAGAAAACTACAGGGCATTGAAAAAAGAGATAGAGGAAGACATAAACAAATAGAAGAACATACCGTGTTCATGGATTGGTAGAATCAAAATCATTAAAATGTTCATACTACCCAGAGCAATTTATAGATTCAATGCAATCCCCATTAAAATACTAACGGCATATTTCACAGACCTAGAACAAACTCTCCAAAAATTCATCTGGAATAAAAAAAAAGACCCCAAATAGCCACAGCAATTCTGAGAAAGAAGAACAAATTTGGAGGGATCACAATACCAGATATCAAGCTATATTACAAACCCACTATTCTCAAAACTGCCTGGTACTGGCACAAGAACAGACATATAGACCAAAGGAACAGAACAGAGAACCCAGAAATCGACCCAAGCCATTAGGCTCAATTAATATTTGACAAACGAGGCAAGAGCATACAATGGAGTCAAGACAGTCTCTTCAATAAATGGTGTTGGGAAAACTGGACAGATACATGCAAAAAAATGAAACTAGTTCACCAACTTACACCATACACAAAAACAAACTCAAAATGGATAAAGAACTTAAATGTAAGATGGGAAACCATAAAAACCTTAGAAGACTCCATAGGCAGCAAAATACCAGACATATGTTGTAGCAGTATCTTTACCAATATGGAAACTAAGGAGAAAATAAACAAATGGGACTACATCAAAATAAAAGGCTTCTGCACAGCAAAAGAAACCATCAACAAAACAAGAGAGCCCACTGCATGGGAGAACATATTTACCAATGTTACATCCGATAAGGGTTTAATCTCCAAAATTTACAGGCAACTCATACAACTTAACAAAAAGAAGATAAACAATCCAATCAAAAAAATGGGCAACGGACCTAAATAGACACTTTTCGAAAGAGGGCATACAGAAGGCAGAGAGACATATGAAAACATGCTCAAAGTCACTAATCATCTGAGAGATGTAAATCAAAACAATGAGGTACCATCTCACACCTGTCAGAATGGCTATCATCAACAAATCAACAAACAACAAGTGTTGGAGAGGTTGTGGAGAAAAAGGAACACTTGTGCACTGCTGGTGGGAATGCAGACTGGTGCAGCCATTATGGAGAACAGTATGGAGTTTCCTCACAAAACTAAAAATGGAACTCCCATTTGACCCAGTGATCCCACTTCTAGGAATATATCCTAAGAAACCAGAAACACCAATCAGAAAGGATATATGCACCCCTATGTTCATAGCAGCACAATTCACCATAGCTAAGATCTGGAAACAGCGTAAGTGCCCATCAGCAGATGAGTGGATTAAAAAATGGTGGTACATCTACACAACAGAATACTATGCTGTGGTAAAAAAAAGAAGGAATTTTTACCATTTGCAACAGCATGGATGGAGCTGGAGAGCATTATGCTAAGCAAAATTAGCCAGTCAGAGAAAGATAAGTATCACATGATCTCACTCATATGTGGGATATAATGAACAACATAAACTGATGAACAAAAATTGATCCAGAGACTAAAACACTGATCAGACCGTCCAACCTCAGAAAGCAGGCAGGGGAGGGGGGTGGGTTAGAGATCAATCAAAGAACTTGTATGCATGCATATTAGCATAACCAATGGACACAGACAATGGGGCGGTGGGGGGGGGGGATTACTGAGTTGGGGGCAGGAGTGGAGGGGGCGGTTAATGGGGGGGGGAAGGAGACATGTAATACTTTTTAAAAAATTTTAAAATTCGGTATAACTATGTCCCAAGTACTCCATGGGCTATATTTACATTTAAATTTTCATTTATATATCTGAAATTCAGATTTTATTGGGTGTTCTGTATTTTATCTGGCAACCCTCGTTCAGACATGTGTTTCTAACGCACACAGCCAACGATGGGGCAACTAAAGCCTCTAGGTTGCACGTTCACGACCCCCTCTTTCCACCCACGGCCCCCACACCCGGCAGGAGGCTGACTTTCTCCCAGACACGCAGAGCGCGGCATCTTTAGAGAAAAGAGGTCCGTGCTTGTTTCCTTGGTTTTGCTTTTCTTCACATCACGTTCGCCATTTTCATCATGTCAGCTTTTCTTCACACCACCCCAGACATGACACTGTTATGAATGAATCAGTTATGAATCAGTCAACACGATTGAATGGGCCCTCATGGAAATGAACGCTATCGTCGTTAATCGGCAAAACACTTTCTTCCACCGATCTCACCATGTTCCTCTTGGAGAGATGCGGGAGCATGCGTTCCCAACCCACTCCCAGGAGGGGAAATAGTAAGTATTTTCATTCCCACAATGGGGTTTGGTTCACAAAACACCTCATTGTGGAGCACAGGGGCTTCATAAACAGGGGTGAAATGTGCATATTTGTTCATTCATTAGATCTTTATAAGAACCTAGAGAAGTGAGCAGCCATGGTAAATATGCCCTTTTTACAGATGGGGAGATTCTCTCTCATCGATGATGTTTCTCTCTCCCTCCCTCTCTGCAATCAATAAAAAAAAATTTTTTAAAGAAGTATGCGTCTATCATTTTACTTTTTATCCAATCCCAGAGGTCCCCGCACTCCCCACCCCCCTTTGCTCCTTCCCTTCTTCCCTCCCTCCCTCCCTCCCTCATCTATCACCAGTGGATTTCCTGTAACCCACTTACGTCTCCTCCTTGGATTGTCATGTATAAAACAAAGTGCCGCCCCGGCCTGTTTTGGTCAGTGGGTAGAGCATCGGCCTGGGGACCCGAAGGGTCCGGGGTTCCATTCCAGTCCAGGGCGCAGGCCCGGGTTGGGGGCTCGATCCCCAGTAGGGGTTGTGTAGGTGATTCTGGGAAACTGAGGCTCGCGGAGTTTCAGCAGGTTTTCCAGGATCACTCACATGGCAAGTGGCAGAGCTGGGATTTGAAAATCAAACTCAAGTCTCTAGTGCCTGCTTCGTTGCCCAATTCACAAATCTTTATTGAGCACCAATTACATAAGTGTTTGGAGAGGCCAGTGGTTCCGAAAGGTCGCAGAGCCTTTTCACCTTCTCTCACTTGCTAGGAGAGCAGCTCCGAGGCTCCTGCCTCCAGGAAGGGGCCCCTCCCCTCCCCCACCTTCTCCCACCCCTGCTGCCCCACGGAACCCACTCACTCAGCAGCCCCAGCCTCTCTCACCACAATTCTCAAGATCATGGTGATGCTAAGCCTGTCATATGACCAGTAAGCAAGTAGCTCTGGTAAGCATTCGTGTGGTTCACCAAGTATTTTTAGTTCTTTTCTCCTCCAGGCACGTGATAGAATTACACATGGTTGGGTGGGACCATGTGACCAGATCTGGCCCATGAGTATGAGCAAAAGTGACCGGCGTCTTTTGTGAGCCAGCCCTTCGTTATCAAAGCAAGACCCTCTGGAACTGCTTCCATGCTGCCCTGGCGTGTCAGCTCACAACCCCCACAGAGCAGCTGCTCCATCCGCCGGTCCCTGCGTCACTGCCCCGAGCTGATGCCCTGGCAGCTCCCAGTCGATGCGCATCATGAATGAGAAATAAATCTTTGTGGTTGGAAGTCAGTGAGGTGTGAAGGGTTATGTTTTGCTGCAGCGAACAGCCTGCATGGGGTAGCACTTGTGCAAAAGGAATCTGTCTGCAGCGGGAGCTGGAAGATGGGCAGGAAGGGCAATCCCTGATGGGCGAGACTTCAGTCAGCAAAGAGCGGGTGGCCTAGCAGCATGGTGTGCTGTTCCCGTCACTCAGGGGCGGAAGTCAATGTTAATTGCAAAGTTCTCACGATTAATTCGTATCTGCCTTTTGAATAAACTTTACCTATAGCTGGTTAACTTATAGCGTAGCCACCTGAGATCGTCTCATACCCGTGAGCATTTTAATTGAAATCCACATGCACACCAATGATTGTAAAGCTGTTGCGTGACTCCTCGCTGGTTTGGCTCAGTGGATAGAGCGTTGGCCTGTAAACTCAAGGGTCCCGGGTTCGATTCCGGCCAAGGGCACATGCCTGGGTTGTGGGCTTGATCCCCTGTAGGCAGCCAATCAATGATTCTCTCTCATCATTGATGTTTCTCTCTCTCTCTCCCTCTCCCTTCCTCTCTGAGATCAATAAAAACATATTAAAAAAGAAAAAAAAGAGAGAGCTGCCACGGTGAGTGAGCCTTCCCACTTCTAATACTATGCCGTACAACTTCCTCCCCAACAGCAACAAAGCCCTGCAAATACACCTTTTATTCCAGGTCCTAGAAATCACTGGACTCCGAGCTGTGAGCCAACCGCGTGGGCATCGCGGACACAAGATGTCCTATTGCCCAGCCTACAGGCAGCAGGACAGCCCGATCGGTGTGCGGCTGAGGGTGAAGGGGCGGCAGAGCCCCTCTGCCCGCGGCTCAGAGCCAGGGGTGAGGACCTCTGGGCCCAGCACAGATGAGCAGCCCGCAACGGGGGCACCCCACCCCTTCCAACGTGGACCAGTGCCCGTGTCTCTTTCCCTCTCCACCATCCTCCCACACAAGCCCGTCTCCCGTACCTACAGCAGAGAGGAAAGCATGGCCGACCAGGCCCCAACTTCTGGCGTGATGCAGCATCGGGTAGCAAGAGGGGTGACAGCGCCCCTGGGCACTCACTCACCCTGCCCCGTCTCCTGCTCCAGCCCAGGGCACGGCAGAGGGTGGCAGCAGGCGCAGCCACAGGGCACAGCCGCCAGTGCAAGGGTCGCAGGAACCCCGGAGAGTCATGCAGACCACTCCTGCCGCTGCCCTTCAGCACCAGCCCTGCAGGAGGCAGTGGCCGGCTTCAGGGGACTCAGAACTGTCAGCCTCACCTGGATAATTATTCCTTTCTCCTTATATTCCGCTTGCAGGGCCTTGGAAAACGTGCACACAAAAGCCTGGAGCGAGAAGGAGAAACACCTCAGGGCCCGGAGCTTGCTTTCTCCCTCCGAACCAACTTTGCAGGTTCCAGAGACTCCACAGGAGCCCACCACGTGTCTTAAAACGTGGCCGCTTCTCTGATGCGAGTTAGGACTTCATCTCTTGGTCTGAGAAGAGATCCCGCAATGAATGGGAACATACATGGTGGGGATAAATACATACCTCGGGCCACTGCACATACATGACCCAACCCAGGGGTGGGGGGCTGTCCCTTGTGTAGAGCACCCCCCTCCCCCGAGTTTGTTTTTAAGACGAGGGCACGGGGACACCTGGCTAGGCCTCCAGGGCAGGGAGGAAACCACAGTGGACAGCAGGGTTCCCAGGCAAGGAGGTGAGTGAGGGCCATCAGCCGTCAGCCGGGGCTGTGCCTCCTTCTATGCACCCAAACCCCTGCTGACTAGCTCCGCCCTGGACACAGGAGAGCGCCTCCTGGCGATCTGCCCATGGGCTGGCCAGATGGGCCACAGGAAAATGGCAAGCGGGAACAGCAAGGGGAGGGAGGAGGGGCCTGGAACTCCGTGCTGTCGCTCACCTTAGAAGCCGAATACATGGAGTAGAAAGGCCAGGGAAAGAGGGCCACCCCGGAAGAAATGTTCAGGACGAGCCCTTTCCTCCTAAAAGGCAAAGAAGCAACGTTTCAGGAGCTGTGCTGCCTGGGGGCTCCGCGAGAAGGAAGAAACCGAGGGGCGCGTGTGAGCGCCAGGGAACCCCTCTCTGCTTCCCTCGGGGCCACGGCCCCACACGGTGACCCTGGGCAGTCAGTGGGCATCAGGGCTTGCCACCGGGAACGGGTTCTGCTGCAACAAGGGGCCCCCACCGAAACGCAGGGGCCCCCACCGAAACGCAGGAACCCACTGAGCGCAGACAGGAGGGCAGGGGATCCTTCCCCATCGGGCGCGGGCACAGGCGCTCAGGGCCCTTCTGCCCATGACGACCCTCAACAAGGCAGATGCCGTCAGCCTTGGGTGGAACTGGATGGCCCATCACCTGCTCACACAGGCGTCCTCACAAGTCCCGGGGTTCCCTAAGTGCCCTTTGGAAATGTAATCCTTTAATCCTCCCCAATGAGACGGGTTTGCTCCAGAAAAACCACAAAACTGCACATTAGAATAGCAGGGCCAGCCTCGCTTCCTCGAGGGAGGACAAAGCCATCGGCCACTTGCTGTTCATGGACACGGCCTGAGACTAGCTCCCGTGGTGTGTGAGACCGGCTCCCGTGGGTGCATGAGACCGCTCCCGTGGGTGTGTGAGACCGGCTCCCGTGGGTGTGTGAGACCGGCTCCCGTGGGTGTGTGAGACCGGCTCCCGTGGTGTGTGAGACCTGCTCCCGTGGGTGTGTGAGACTGGCTCCCGTGGTGTGTGAGACCGGCTCCCGTGGTGTGTGAGACCGGCTCCCGTGGGTGTGTGAGATTGTCTCCCGTGGTGTGTGAGACTGGCTCCCGTGGGTGTGTGAGACTGGCTCCCGTGGGTGTGTGAGACCGGCTCCCGTGGTGTGTGAGACCGGCTCCCGTGGGTGTGTGAGACCGGCTCCCGTGGTGTGTGAGACCGGCTCCCGTGGGTGTGTGAGACTGGCTCCTATGATGTGTGAGACCGGCTCCCGTGGTGTGTGAGACCGGCTCCCGTGGTGTGTGAGACCGGCTCCCGTGGGTGTGTGAGACCGGCTCCCGTGGTGTGTGAGACCGGCTCCCGTGGGTGTGTGAGACCGGCTCCCGTGGGTGTGTGAGACCGTCTCCCGTGGGTGTGTGAGACCGGCTCCCGTGGGTGTGTGAGACCGTCTCCCGTGGGTGTGTGAGGCCGGCTCCCGTGGGTGTGTGAGACCGGCTCCCGTGGTGTGTGAGACCGTCTCCCGTGGGTGTGTGAGACCAGCTCCCGTGGGTGTGTGAGACCGTCTCCCGTGGTGTGTGAGACCGGCTCCCGTGGGTGCATGAGGACGGCTCCCGTGGGTGGGTAACAGGGTGATAAAGATGTGGCATAAATGGAGGCACTGATGGGGTACTGATGGGGTGCTGACTTTTAGCACTAAACTGGAGTATTCATTCTGACAACAGCTGAAATTTATAATAACGAAGAGATGGTCTTGGTCTCAGGCCAACTTCTGAAGTTTCTTTTATGCTCAACGTAAGTTAATTTTTTACTACAATGTGTGCTGAATCTGCTGTTCTCTTCCTCCCTCCAGTGTATGTTACACTTGACCTTCAATATGCTTGTGTGTTGCAAAGCTGGCCGGGGCAGAATGTTATTTCCCCTGTAATGTCCATGTCCTGTCATCACAGTGTTATCACTTGTTAAAGCCGCAGGCAGAGGCGCCCCAGCCCCAGCCTCCACACCCCCGCCGCCGGCCAGGCCAGGGAGCCCGTGCACTTCACTGTTTCAAAGAAAGGCCTTACCTTGCCTCCATGTGCTTCAGAATTAGCTGGGTCATCTACAAGAGAAGGTCAACGTTAAGCCTTGACAATAGCAATGGGGGTACAACTTGGGGGAGTGGGTGTGGGGGGGAGCTGGGGAACTGCCTAATCTTCTCAGATGGCCACACGCATTGGAGGTCATTCTGGCAACACTAGAGTCAGGCCAGAACCTACAGGACGCAACTCAGAAAATGGCCAACTGCTCAGGGGCCTCTGGTTTCTCCTGCTAAAGCTCCAGTCTTCCTGAAAAATGAGGGCAGTGAAAAATTATGGAAATTGTCCTGGTGTGGGGTCAGCACTGAGGATCCCAGATACTCTCTACCCCAGGAGACAGGCAAGCGGATGCTGCTCGTCACAAGCCTCAGCCATGAGTTAGGATTGGGGGGCGTCAGGACATCACGCAGGTGTCCATGAGCGTCGCAAGTACCAGGGAGGACACCTGTCAATCCAACAGCGGCCGCATAAGCAACCTGCAGGTAGTCTGTGCTAGCTCCCCAGTCTGTCGGTCTGTCAGAATTACAACTGTATTGGGAAGTCCCTTCCCCCTCCCAACCTTCTGCCCCAAAAGAGGTCTTTCCTGCAACTTCCGGAGCTTAAACATTCCATTAAAGAGCTTTTCACATCGTAATTGTAAGGCACACGTTTTAAGAATTAAGGAGGCAGCAGCTGTGTGGACTAAAGGGTTCTCAAACGTACATCCGAGTGGACAGGGGCCCTGTCTGGGGAGCAGGTTTGAGACAGAGAGGAGCCAAACAGGTGGGGCAAAGCAGAGAAATCAAAAGGCCCGGGGTCAGAAGACTAGCTCTGCCAGTCTCTGCACGTGGCCTGGGAGCCCCAGGAGCTGGGGGGGGGGGGGTGCCTCTGTCCCTGCCACGCCCTATCTGCGGGGCCTCCAGAGCGTGGTGGGGGATGGTCCCTAGAACCCACGGGACTGCCTCCTGAAACCCTGGATTTGAAGGGAGGTGAGAAAAGGGTGAGGGCTAGATTGTCATCACCCTTCCTTGGCTTTTCCAGCGTCACTGAGGAGCACGCCAGCATGTCCTCAGAGCCTCCTGGCTGAAAGCTCTAGCCTCCCGGGGGGAGTAATCCCGGTTAGAGAGAGGACGTCGGGTTTGTGAGTCTCTGTCACAAAGCTCCCAATATTTAGTCTCTGATCTCACCTTCCTTTTGCCCGCCCACAAGCTCATCTCCCATCCCTGCCCTGACAGGGGTCTCTCCTATTCCCAGACGGTTCCTGTGGAATAATTAAGGGATACTTGTCATGCCTCCCACCAGCGTGGACAGCTGGGGTGGCATGCTTATAAGCTAACCTTCCGTGTGTTTTCTCTGTTATTTAGGGAAGTTAGTGTCTAACAATATAAAATAATTGTTTAGCAAATCAAAACATTCCTCTGCTAAAGGAGTCGGGCTTATCAAATACATCTGGGAAGCCCCATGATCAAATGGACCAAGAGTGAGAGATTCACGTGTCAAATAATGTGAAAGATTTCAGTGGTAAGACTACTGACAACAGTTGGAAATATAAAACTTACAATTACATCAGCTGGGAGTTTGAAAAGCTATTGATTGCTCAGCCTAAAAGAATGTGTGTACCAATGAACACTGGGCAGGCTACGTAAAATACCACTATGCTTACAGAAAAACAGTCACTGGTAAAAACAATTTTTGTCAGCCCAACTTATCCACCCGAAAAAAAAAAAATTGGGGGCTCTACTCAGCATCCATCCCCTCCCCTTAGGTCAAGAGCAGCTGACTCTCCTGTGGGAAAGCCGTCCTCCAAGGCCAGTCCACGTTCTCAAGATGAGACTGAGCCTCCTGCTGCTCCCAGCCAGGGTCTGGACCCATGAAGTCAGGGGTCACACCTGGCTCCCTGCTGCGGTTCCACGGGGCCTGGGGAATGGCCACAGGGTGCCAGGCGCAGGTGTGAACTCTGTGGCCTGAGCCAGGCACCGGCTGTGGGGCCAGTGGGGGCTCAGAGCCCAGGGTTCACTCACAGGCCATTCAGAGGAGAGAAACCCATGTTCACACAAAAGTGCCATCCGCTCAGCAGGCGGCGGCTGGGCCTGCTTCTCGGCAGCACCTTCCCCCAACCGCCTGCCCAGGAGGGCCCTTCCTCCCCCGCCCCGCTCTCTCCAGGGCACAGTTGGCTCAGCTCCGTGGCCGTCATGCCTACTGACGCTTGTTCAGAACAGCACCCGACACGACACAGAGCCACACTTTTCTGGCAGAGGAAGGATCTGAGGTTCCAGGGAGTTAAGCAGCACGCCCAGCGCTGCCCAGCCAGCTAGTGGCTGAGCTGGAGCCAGAGATACATGAGCGCCAATCGGCAAGTACTCATGGAACAAGATTCCATAAAACCCATGCCTGCCCTCTGTCTTTTTCCCCCACAGGGAGACTTTTCCTCTATTTACTAGAATAAAATCAGAGGAAAATACTGAATTTTTTAAAAAGTCACCCTGGAATCCAGAATCAGTTTCAGCAGCGTCAGGTCTAATATGTCTATTCTGCGCAGGCAGAACTGAAGGCAGAAATAGGCCCCAAACACGAGGGAGCATGAATCCCTCCCTGCGCTCGGTGGAAACAGAACAAGACAACCGAAAGGCCACGCGTGGGCCTCGCAAGTCAAGTGCAGTTCAAGTCCAGAGAGTCCCCTCCACAGGGAAGGGCCGGGTGTCCTGCGTTGCCACATGCCGGGAGCTGCTCCACGTTAACGCGTTCGGCACATGCACTGATCACGTACCTTCACTACCGAGGTGATGTTACAATGGATGAGGCTCTGGAATAAACAACCATAACCACAAATCAGCTGAGACATTCTCTTGACATGCAGTCGGTGCTAACGAAACATCAAGTGGCCCTAACCCGTTTGGCTCAGCGGATAGAGCAGGGGTCCTCAAGCTTTTTAAACAGGGGGCCAGTTCACTGTCCCTCAGACCGTTGGAGGGCCGGACTATAGTTTAAAAAAAACTATGAACAAATTCCTATGCACACTGCACATATCTTATTTTGAAGTAAAAAAAACAAAACGGGAACAAATACAATATTTGTATTTGCATGTGGCCCGCGGGCCGTAGTTTGAGGACCCCTGGGATAGAGCCTCGGCCTGCGGACTCAAGGGTCCCAGGTTCGATTCCCGTCAAGGGCATGTACCTTGGTTGTGGGCACATCCCCAGTAGGGGGCGTGCAAGAGGCAGCTGATCGATGTTTCTCTCTCATCGATGTTTCTAACTCTCTATCCCTCTCCCCTCCTCTCTGTGAAAAATCAATAGAAATATATTTTTTTAAAAAAAAGAAACATGAAGTGGGCGGAGGCAGGCATCTGAGCTGTTCCCCCGCTCGCCCAGCCGGCACATCGGCTCCCCCTGGAAGTTCAGGACGCCTGCGCCAGGACTGGGAAACGGCTGCCATCCGTATGTGCTTCTGTGCCATCCGTATGTGCTTCTGTGGAGTGTGATCTTGAACGAAGTCAATTACTAAGAGTTTCCTCAAAACTTTAAAGAGGAATGTGGACACAGCTTTTCCAAGGGAGCGGTTACTTCCCAGCTGGAGGAAGAGGGCAGCGTGCGTGGGCCTGGGGACAACGGCAGCGAGAACAGAAAGGCCAGTGGCTGTATAATAAGGCGGAGGTTCCGGGCTACAGAGGCCAGATAAAGAAACTAGTAGAGTCTCCCGAGACAGACAGAGAGGGAAAGAGGGGTAGACACAGAAACGGGCACACGTACAGACATGAATAGAGAAAGAAGCAAGAATGGCATCTGCTTAAAGGAGAGGAGGGGCGTGGCAAGGGTGTGCAGCTACGTCCCAGCAGTGGGCACTCCGCCCGTTCCTCTCTCACTCACATGGGAGCATGGGAACACCTGCACAGTCAGGGACTGGGAGCGCGACAGCCTGGATATGACCCCATGACCTCACAGGTCAGAGCCTGGGAAGACGTAACAAGGAGTACCATCCAGGGCTGCTAAATGCACCAAATGCACGCATGGCCAGCAATGGCGGCCATGGGTCTGAGCCACGCTTGCTGGACTTACAATAAATACCTCAACCGCAGAGTTTGTATCACTGACTTCACTCACGCTGAACTCTGAACAAATTTTATTACCTGGGAAGACAAAGAAAACCAAAGAGCTTCTCCCACTTGCATCCATAGCCATAAAATTTCCAGGCAGGGTTACCCCTTATGAAGCACAGGACAGAGCCCCAAAGACTAGGGCAGCAGCTGGCAAGCAGGTGCTGATGTGCGGAGAAGGGGAGAGGTGACCTTATCTTAGAAATGGCCATGAGCAGGGATGCCTTGCTGTGGACCAAGTACAAGGATGAGAAGAAAGGGAACCCTCCAGACACCCTCCTGGGACACAGAATTCTGTCCAGACACCCTCCCCGGCCCTGCTGAGAGGACGGCGCCACAGAAAGCACAGCTGTACCTGGATTTCGTCCGGTGTGTTAAGGAAATGGGTCGGCAGAAGGCTGGGGATCATTCCAACATTGTTGACTGCCGGGGGAGGCAAAACAAGAAGATGTCAGAAGAGCCAGTGGCAAATGTTTGTTGAAAACCTTAAAAACAGTTACACTCAACCCAGAAATTCTTCTCTTGGAAAGTGTTTTTAAGAAAATACCTTCATGCCTGGCCGGCGTGACTCCGTGGTTGAGTGCCGACCCAGGAACCTGGAGATCAGGGTTTGATTCCCGGTCAGGGCACGTGCCCAGGTTGTGGGCTTGATCCCCAGTAGGGGGCGTGCAGGAGGCAGCCGATCAATGATTCTCTCTCATCATGGATGTTTCTCTCTCTCTCTCTCTCTCTCTCTCTCTCTCTCTCCCTCTCCTTTCCTCTTTGAAATCAATAAAAATATTTTTTTTAAAAAAGAAAATACCTTCAACAAGATTGATACCCGAGGTCGTTCATTGCGACATGATTTGATAACTGAACAGATCTGAGGGAAGAGATCGTGGTCCAGGGACAGGAAGCACATGAAGGGAATGGGGTGCAGCCTGGCTGGAGCGCAGTGCAGTCACTCACAACCACGGCTGCTCAGCTGAAGGCAGGGGAAAGCATGTGTGATGAACGGCTTTTAAAAATGCACAACACACAGACGGGACAGGTGGTGATGGAAAGAACAAAATTTAAAACAAGTAAATATGTAAATAAATATGTGTAAACACGTAAGATCCATGTAGACATATGAGAATATGTATCTGGAAGGATATGCACCAAAATGCTCTCTCGGGCTGTCAGGATTTTAAGAAATTCATAATTCTCTTATATGCTTCTCTACTCTTTCCAGTTTTTCTGCAACGATATGTTTTTCATTGTTATTAGTAAAAAGAGTTAGTAATTATTTTTTTAAATTCAGCAGGAACTTTAGAAATCAAACCTTCTTTCTATGCACAATACAGACATTGTACTGTGTGCGTAGTGATGAAATAGCGTGTTTATAATCATCACAGAAGAAACATCGTCTTGTGTCCTGAATAAGGTGGTCAGTTCACAAGTACGCGCACTGCGCTGCCATTTCATCGGGCCAATCACAGCCAAGCTTGTTGGGTAACTGTTCCTTCGGCGAGTGTTTCTGAGACTCCCTCTTTCCACCGAGTATCAGTGTCAGTCGGTGAGAGAACATCCATCCTCTCTGACATTAGGGAAGGCAGTCGGGAAGGTCTGATACATTCTAAAGCTATATATACATCTGTTAGTCAGGTAACGCCTCTTGAAGAACTGAACTTTAATATTTGTTAATGCTACAGCTTAAAACACAGTTATGGGTTAAGCTCAAGCCACTGTGGGATAATCAAGGGTCACCGAGGTAGTTATTGCACTGACGTATTTCAACACGCTTTGAGCATTGCAATTTGCTTACCTAAAATTCCAATTTCTAAGCCTTTGAGTTCTTCTTTAATATCCTCATAGATGTCGTCCTTGGTGAAATCTGCTTGTATGATCCTCACAGTCCTCCCTGTAGTGCGCTCTGCATTCGAGACAATGTTACTCTTCAGTGATCATGAGTCCAAATCCCGTGGAGTTCCCCTGCGCTCCCACGCAGCCTGAGCGACATTTATGAGCACAAGCCCACCACCCCATTAGAGACAAGAAGTAGCCCGGATAAAGCTGGCAGGTGCTAGAGGGGTGAGTCTGAGCCTTACCACAGTAACAAGTACACGCATTAGATTTAACACAGTGATTCTCAAAGGGGGGTCCCCAGAACACAGCAGCACCACCAGCAACTGGCTCCACAAAACCTCAGGCTCCACCCGGGACCTAGAGAACCAGGCACCCGGGGAGGCCCGGGGTCTTCTGCACCCTGCCCCAGCTGACTCTGGTGCTCGCTCTGTGGAGAGGCCTGGCCTAAGGGCTGCAGGCACAGTGTGATGCCCCCTGTGCTGCGCCGGGTCCCTCCGGAGACACAGCCACCCTCTGCATTTGCCCAACACGTTAGCATTCACCAAGCCTTTACCTGCACCATCTCCATTTTCCAGAGGAGAACCCAGCTGAGACGCTAGTGCCTTGCCCGAGGCACCCGCCCTGCTCCAGGCCAGGCCCTGCCACTCTCCCGCGTGAACTAGCCTCGTGCGGTGAACTTGCCTGTGCAGGAGCTCAGCCAGATGTGGAAGCAGCACAGATGTCACCAGCTGCCCCTCTCAGCGCTGGAGTCAGACCCAATATTTCTGGGGCAAGTGATGTTGAGGCATAGTTTGGGGGTGGGGTGCTTTCAGACTGAAGACACTGCTTGCTCTTTAAGAGGCCGATGAAAATCACACTTTAACATTGCGGGAGGAGCACTGAAGAATCCCCGAATCCTGGCCAGAGTTACCTCTGATATCCAGACGCAGAATTCATCGGCCCGAGGGCACTGAGCCTCCCCCTCCGCCTCCTGATGCCCCAGGGACACAAACTGTCCCCCAGGCGGCCTGCCGTGGTTTCCCGAGTCTTTATCATTAAAGGCCTATTCCTTTGAGTTAAGGAGTATATTAATTACTAAATTAATAATTAATCATTAAAATGCAAATCCCGAAAAGGGATACTGTGATCATCATTAGCTAAGGACACTTCAGAGGGCGTCATGATAAAAACACGCTGTCCTGTGAGTGCGGCCTCCCAGCGTTGTGCAGTGCAGTCTTCACAGCCGCACAGCAGCCCTGCACCAAGTCTTTTTTTTTAAATCTGAGTGTCACCACGAAGCGTCGCCCCTCCCCTTCCTGCCCAGAGCAGAGCACAGACATGTGGAAGGGAAGTCCCACGGGGAGTGGCAGAAGCCACCAGGAAGCTGGCCCTCTGGATGGGGAGGTCTGATTCTAGAGATGAGGACGCGGGACCAGAGAAGAGAGAAGACCTACTGGTGCTGCTTCTGATCCTGCCTGGCCCGCCAGAGACTCAGCTGTGAACGAAACGCCCCCTTCACAGCCTGCAAGTAGCTTTGCAAACTGAGCTCCCGCAGCAGGGCCCGCGCCCCAGGCTCCAGGGAGCAGGGGGATGCTGGCGGTGCCTCTGCAGGCAGGACCAGAGCAGACCTGGCCAGAGGGCTCGCAGACACTTCCCTCATTCCCTGGGGTCGCTCACCAATCTCCACGGCAATCGCCTGTAGTTTTTCCAGCGTCCGGCTGATCAGCACAACGTTGAGGCCTTGTCTTGCTAGCTGGGGGGGGAAAGCCAAGAGAGAGGAGACAGTCAGCAGACAGGAAGGCCTGACTGAAAGGTGAGTTGGGGCATCACCCACTGGGTCCCAAGGCGAGGTGCTTGCTTTTTCTGGGTTTAAATGTGCAGACATTTCTGCGTTCTGAGCAAAACAGCCGCCCTGGGCCAGGCTAAACATGACATAATCCTGCTTGTGTTTATGACGTGTGAGGAACTAGTCCATGTTCCCTTTTGTACAGACCACAGCCTGACATCCTCTCATCGGGACCGCTTGGGCGTGGATGGTGCTGGAAATCAGGATTTGGAAGAAGCTATGCTATCCGAATATATAAAAAGGCCGGGGCTGTCACAACCAAAAAACCGGATGGATGACCGGACAGCAGGCTGCGTGGGGCGACCAGGCCGGCAGGGGGGACAGTGAGGGACGACCACATGACTGAACAGCAGCTGCGTGGGGCGACCAGGCCGGCAGGGGGGTCAGTGAGGGACGACCACATGACTGAACAGCAGGCTGCGTGGGGCGACCAGGCCGGCAGGGGGGTCCGTGAGGGACGACCACATGACCGAACAGCAGGCTGCGTGGGGCGACCAGGCCGGCAGGGGGGTCAGTGAGGGACGACCATATGACTGAACAGCAGGCTGCATGCGGCGACCAGGCCAGCACAGGGAGTAGAGGGCAGTTGAGAGCAACCAGGCTGGCACAGGGGGCGGGGGGGCAGTTGAGGGCAACCAGGCCGGCAGGGGGGGCAGATAGGGGTGATCAGGCAGGCAGGCAGGTGAGCGGTTAGGAGCCAGCAATCCAGGATTGTGAGAGGGATGTCCAAGGGGTCCCAGATTGGAGAGGGTGCAGGCTGGGCTGAAGGGATCTCTGCCACCCCCACCACCACCACCACCATACATAAATTTCATGCACCGGGCCTCTAGTACTTTACATAACAGGCCCCAGGCAGCACTGCTCCATAAAGACCCGATTCCTGCAGCACCTTCTGAGCTGCTTCCTGCTCACAAGAATGTCCTCCTTGTGGTTCACTCTGCACAGACATGCTCATGCCTGAGCCCTGTCGCCTGCCCTCTGGCTCCCAACTGGACGGTACGTGCCTGCTTCCCTGAGACCTGTAAGGAAGTCTCTTTGGGATAGATACTGCCTGACTCCTGGGGCCCGAGGGACGCAGGACGGGAATGGCATGCATTAACGCGGGCTTCGCACCGAACAATGCTACACGCGAGCAAAATTAGAGCTTTGCCTGAGGACAGAAGGAAAACCAATGATCGTGCAAACAGGCTGATGACATTTGAGTTAGTGACAAAGGACCCAGTTCATTAAAATCTCTCTATGGTTTTAATTAAATGCCTTATACTGTTACTTTTTAAATTGTGGCAAATTATACTGAAAGGAATTCTAGGGACAAAATAGGCTGATTTGGGGAATACAGAGTGTCCATGGGGGAGGCATGCATATGTGAAGGATGAGCAATTAAAGCAATTAGAAGGTAGATCAAAAGCAGCCCTGAACTGAGCAGTTTGGAGACGCCAAAATGCTTATCTTACTTGTACAACGGACAGAAAAATGCCACAGGAGGACGGAGGAAGACATACATTCACGGAGGATATAGAAAAGTCACAGGATAATGGATCGAAGAAAACATATTTTCACAGAGAACAGAGGAATGTTATAAGACAAGGGGAGAGGAAGAGGGGGCGCCACTGGGCTTTGGCCTTTGAAACTGATACTGTGTAACAAAGTAACCAATGAGGAAAGCATGGGGGCCCTAAATTAATGAAAGGTCCAATTAGAGAGGGTCAGGTTCAAACAAAGAACTGCAACATATATAAACTGGAGAAAAGGGGCACGAGGAGGGATTTCTTTTTCCATTTGAGAGAGAGAGGGGAGAGAGAGAGAGAGAGAGAGAGAGAGAGAGAGAGAGAGAGAGAGAGAGAAGCCTTTCCCATTTGGGGGCCCCTCCCTAAGGGGGTCCCCTTTGGAACACCTCTGCCCAGATGGAGTTTGTATATGCTTCCAATAAACTTCTACATTTTTATTAAAGAAATGTGTTAGTCCATGAATTTACTCTTCATCTTCATCAGACAAGAAGCCACAAGAAGTCTGTACCCCGAAACCCATGTTTCAATACACAACAGAGAATATGCCATGTTGACAAATGTATGGGATGTTTCATGAACTTGCATGTCACCCTTGTGCAGGCCCAGGTGCATCTTCTCTATATCATTCCGGTTTTAGGACATATGTGGTCAAAGCGAGCACTATGCCAGCATTGCAATGAGGAATTACATGTTATAGGAAACATAAGAAGCCGAATTAAAGACTGTACTATAGGGTCTACAATAACCAATAATTCGATCTTCAAGCCACTGGTCTCAGAATCACCCAGGAAGATGTCAAAAAACACCAATTCCTACCAAAACCATCCAAATAAAAATCTCTGGGGTGGAAGCCTCAGCGTTTACATATTTTTCTGCTTTGATTTATTAAATTATACTATTGAATACACCAGTGCATTCTCATCGTAGAAGGCGTCCCTGAGGCCACCACAGTGCCATTTCCTCACCCACCATAGGCTCTCCCTGCCTGGAGTTTGGCGTTGATCCTTCCTAACGTTATCTCAGCATCTACACGCACATATTAGAACATACAGAAGTAAATGTGTGTGTTGTGGGTTTTCTTTCTTTGCACACTTTACAAATGGCATTGTAAGTGCTACCTTTTTAACGTGATGCTGTGTCTCATCCCTGAGCATTGACCCATGTCCACATCAGTTCATGCTGAGACACTTGACTCTTTTTATTGCTTCCAGGTGCTTATAGCTCATATGGGTGAGCATTTAAGCTGTTGTCAAGTTTTCTTATTACCAATACTGCCACAAAGAAAACCTTTCTATGTAGCTCCTTGTATATACAAGTTAATCAATTCCTAGAGTAGATAGACAAGTGGAATTGTTGTGTTAAAGGGTATATGCTTTTTAAATTTTAACAGTATTGCCCCAATGTCCTCCCTTCAAACTGTGCCATCAAAAATACAATTATAGCTATTTCTCCACTCTCTGGCCAATAGTTTATATTAACAAACTTTTCAAAATTGTCCAATCTAATGGTCAAGAAATGATATCCTTTTATTGCTTTAATTTTTCCAATTAACAGTGGGGCTGAGTATCTTTTTGTATGTTTATGTGTGAAATACCAGTATATACCCTTTGACCATCCTTCTACTGGGTTTTTGTCATCCTATCTAATAAAAGACAAAAAGGGTAATTAACCATACCTCTGCTATGCTTCCCATTGGCTAATCAGCGAGATATGCAAATTAACTGCCAACAAAGATGGCAGCCGGCAGCCACGCAGCTGAAGCGAGCAGGAGGCTTGCTTGCTCCAGTGATGGAGGAAGCCAAGGTCCCCCGCCTGCCGCCACCCGGCTCTGAGCCCAAAAGCAACAAGGTTTCAATTATAGAAGCTAAACAAACCCCAGATAGCTGCTTTCAGCCAGCCGTGGCCTCAGAGCTGGGAGCGCCAGTGATGGCAACAATGTTTCAATTATAGAAGGTAAATAAATCCCAGAATTAAAAAAAAGAAAAAAAGGAGAGGCTCAGAGCTTCAGTCGCCAGTCGGCCTGAAAACGGCCTTCAGCCCCTCACCCAGACTGGTCAGGCACCCCAGTGAGGACCCCCACCCTGAAGGGGGTGTGACCAGCTGCAAACAGCCATCAGCCCCTCACCCAGGCTGGCCAGGCACCCCTGTGGGACCCCCACCCTGATCCGGGGCACCCTTCAGGGCAAACCAGCCAGCCCCCACCCTTGCACCAGGCCTCTACCCTATATAATAAAAGGGTAATATGCAAATTGACCCTAACAGGAGAACAACTGGGAATGACTGGTCACTATGACACACACTGACCACCAGGGGCCAGACGCTCAATGCAGAAGCTGCCCTCTGGTGGTCAGTGCGCTCCCACATGGGGGAACTCTGCTCAGCCACAAGCCAGGCTGATGGCTGCCAGTACAGCGGTGGTGGTGGTAGCCTCTCCTGCCTCCTCAGCAGCGCTAAGGATGTCCGACTGCAGCTTAGATCTGCTCCCCGCTGGCAAGTGGACATCCCCCAAGGGCTGCTGAGCTGCCAGAGGGATGTCTGATTGCCAGCTTAGGCCAAATCCCCGGAGAGCAGGCCTAAGCCAGCAGGTGGTCATCCCCCGAGGGGTCCCAGACTGCAAGAGGGCACAGGCCGGGCTGAGGGACCCACCCCCCCACCCCCCCACCCCCCCACCCCAGCGCGTGCACAAATTTTTGTGCACCGGGCCTCTAGTTTTCTTATAAATTCGTAGGAGGTTTTTTATATATTCTGGGTAATAATTATTTGCCTACTGTATATGTAGCAGTGTTTCTCCTTTGTTTATGGTGTCTTGGCATACATGATAGGTTATTTTAATGTTATCAAGTTTGTGACTTGATAGGTTTAATTTTTTTCTTATGATTTTCTCTAACTCCAAGGATATAAGTATATTTTCCTACAACCCTTCGTAGTTTCTTCAGTTATTGTCATTTATTTTTGAAAAAGGTGTGAGGTTGAAATCATCTAGCACTATATTTTTCAAAATGGGTGGCTAATTGTCTCAACGACATTTTTCTATTTGTCCTTTCTTTCCTGATTTGAATGCCAACTTAGTCATATGCAAAATTTTCATAAGTACATGGGTCTGTTTCTGTTTTCACTGACCTGTTTGTTATTTAAATGACATGGCCACTTCTGATTTAATCATAATCTTACAATAAAGCTTTGGTATCTGATGTCTGATAGAGGAAGTCCCTACCCTGTATTATTCTCTTTCAAAATGTTATTTTTTAATCTTCTTAGTGTGATTTTACAGATAAAGTTGTATATATTTTAAAGTATTATGTTAAAATTAGAGACATTTAGGTGGAAGTTACATCTTGGCTGTAATCAGATGTCTCATCCATAAATATGGTATCCATTTATTCAGATTTCATACATTCT